TATAAACGAGTATACCAGGCATTCCAGGCAGATGGTTTAACTACATCACACTTCCGTGTCTCCATGTTACAGTAAGGCTAACATTTCTTACCCCTTTCCTACTTTACATAAAATTATGAAGTTTAGGGATATGATGTCATCACTTGCACTTTGGACTTCTTGGAGAAGCAATTCTATATAAACACCCAGTAGAAATGACAGAAAAACACTGTCAGTGTGGTATGTACACAGTATAAAATGGACCAAATTAATTCCTGGACTTCCCTGGTGGCACAGTGGTTAAGAATCCACCTGCCAGTGCAGGGGACATGGGTTTGAGCCCTGGTCCGGGAAGATCCCACATACCGTGGAGCAACTAAGCCCACGTGCCACAACTATGGAGCCTGCGCTCTAGAGCCCATGAGACACAACTACTGAGCCTGTGTGCTGCAACTACTGAAGCCTGTGTGCCTAGAGCCTGTGCTCTGCAACAAGAGAAGCCACCACAACGAGGAGCCTGTGCACCACAATGAAGAAAGCCTGTGCACAGCAACGAAGACCCAACACAGCCAAAAAAAAAAAAAAAAAAAAAATTAATTCCTTAGAGCTTGGGACAAAAATAGCCCCTTAGTCTTGCATATCTAGTTTTTAATCATGTTGCATATGCCTGTTCTGTGGCTTTCAAGAGCAGTCTGAAAGGGCACTGTGTCTGATAGAAGGTGGATTGCAGTAAGTGTTTAGCATTCTTCTTTTAGAGGAAACACTGCAATCCAAGATCTGGCCTCTTTCCAGCTTTTGAAAAACCACAAGTCAAAATTTTGTTGCCATATGAGAGTGTTGCATGGAGGGACATTAGCTATGAATTTCTATATACTAGAGGCTATTCTGTCTTTTGTGGATAAAAAAATTAATCAATAATTAATCTAAAAAAGAAATGGAAATCTTTATTTGAGCCAACCTGAGGATTGTAAGTCAGAGACAGTCTCTCAGAGAGCTCTAAGGACTGTTCCGAAAAGGTAAAGGGGGAGGCCAGTATAGATGTGATTTCGGAGAAGGGGGTACGTGCAACCAAGCACGCATCTTGGTAGAGGTGACTGCTATTTGCGAGGAACAGGTACCTTAGTTAATGGTTTTAGTGCTCCTCTAAGTATGGGAAGATGCAAAAAACTGGATTCATAAAATTTTCTCCTGAAAACATCTAAGTACCCGAGGGCCGGTTCTGTCAGTTTTCCCGCAGCACAAAATGCTTCGTCCTGATCGTCGCCCTGAATTCCTCTCGGGGTGTTCTGCATAAGTCAGCGACTGCAGTGGCCGATGACTTGTTCCTTGTAGGAATGGACGGTGGGCAACATTTCTCGTCTTACACTCCCTTCCCTTTTAGTCTTAATTTTGACCAAGGTTTGGGAGGCATTTCGTGACCACTTTGTCCCACAACGCTAGGAATGCTCGTTCCCAGGTCAGGCGAGGATTTGGTTGATAAGCCACTCAGTGTGCTATTACTGGACTAGGCCCTGTTACCAGTAGCCAAAAGCCTCTGGACCACCTGTCTTACATTCCGTTATGATCCAGGAAATGGTTCCCTCTTGTTGCTTCTTCCCACATCTCGAGTTACACTATTATAATCATTGATTTTGTAGAACTATATCTTTGATCAGTCGTTTCAAGTCGACTAATCATCATTAATTTTATTGGAGGCTCAGTCACACATTTGATAATGCAAGAAACAATAATCTTGTACAATAGGCAGAATACAAGTAATATAGCTAGTAGCATTAATAAGGTCATAAGTATTTAAGAGAAGAGCTTCCATTAGGTGTGGCTCAGTATCTTCCCAGGTCATCTGACCAGTCTGCCAGTCTGCTCTGCATCAATAGCTGTCTTTAAGGGAAATAACATATTGTTATTGTATGTAAAGTTCACTAAATTCGTCTGCAGGTACAAGGTGAGTGGTGGGTCACTGTGACCCCTTAAGGATTGACAAAGGAATATTATCTTCTAAGGAGTTACATGGTTGGCATCCAAAGAACAACTGGCATTTATGGTTGAGCAGGTATTTCTGCCATTGGGGAGTCCAGCTAATGCAGAATGCAGATGCACAATGCATGGTAGAGGGGAGGGAGGAGGCCAAAGGACAGAGAAGAAGGTTTATGCTTAAAGTTTTCTTGGCTTAAAATATGAATTTTATGTCATCTCTTTTATGAAAGATCCAAGAGCCTCTTATAATGACTCAAAAATAATAATAAGGTCACTCTTTTTTCCAGAGTTACCAAAGTGGGCCATCATCTCAGAGTAGGAAATGAAAGGGGCCAGTATGAGATCCAAGTAGTTTTAAAAGGCATGAAGGATATGAAAGTACTTAACACTACTGAACTGTATATTTTTTTAAATGGTTAAGGTGGTTAATTTTATATTATGCATATTTTACCACAATTAAAATGTTTTAAATTTTGTTATGTGTATTTAGCAAAGCAAATTTTATTTTTGTTGTTACTTTTTGGTTTGATCTCAATTTTTAATTTTTTTATAGGATAGTTACCTTTTTAAAAAAAATTTTATTTATTTATTTATTTATTTATTTATTTTTGGCTGTGTTGGGTCTTCGTTGCTGCGCGCAGGCTTTCTCTAGTTGTGGCGAGCGGGGGCTACTCTTCCTTGCGGTGCATGAGCTTCTCAGTGCAGTGGCTTCTCTTGTTGTGAAGCACGGGCTCTAGGCGGGTGGGCTTCAGTAGTTGTGGCACGTGGCCTCAGTAGTTGTGGCGCACAGGCTTAGTAGCTCCGTGGCAAAGAGAAGAGCTTCCATTAGGTGTGGCTCAGTATCTTCCCAGGTCATCTGACCAGTCTGCCAGTCTGCTCTGCATCAATAGCTGTCTTTAAGGGAAATAACATATTGTTATTGTATGTAAAGTTCACTAAATTCGTCTGCAGGTACAAGGTGAGTGGTGGGTCACTGTGACCCCTTAAGGATTGACAAAGGAATATTATCTTCTAAGGAGTTACATGGTTGGCATCCAAAGAACAACTGGCATTTATGGTTGAGCAGGTATTTCTGCCATTGGGGAGTCCAGCTAATGCAGAATGCAGATGCACAATGCATGGTAGAGGGGAGGGAGGAGGCCAAAGGACAGAGAAGAAGGTTTATGCTTAAAGTTTTCTTGGCTTAAAATATGAATTTTATGTCATCTCTTTTATGAAAGATCCAAGAGCCTCTTATAATGACTCAAAAATAATAATAAGGTCACTCTTTTTTCCAGAGTTACCAAAGTGGGCCATCATCTCAGAGTAGGAAATGAAAGGGGCCAGTATGAGATCCAAGTAGTTTTAAAAGGCATGAAGGATATGAAAGTACTTAACACTACTGAACTGTATATTTTTTTAAATGGTTAAGGTGGTTAATTTTATATTATGCATATTTTACCACAATTAAAATGTTTTAAATTTTGTTATGTGTATTTAGCAAAGCAAATTTTATTTTTGTTGTTACTTTTTGGTTTGATCTCAATTTTTAATTTTTTTATAGGATAGTTACCTTTTTAAAAAAAATTTTATTTATTTATTTATTTATTTATTTATTTTTGGCTGTGTTGGGTCTTCGTTGCTGCGCGCAGGCTTTCTCTAGTTGTGGCGAGCGGGGGCTACTCTTCCTTGCGGTGCATGAGCTTCTCAGTGCAGTGGCTTCTCTTGTTGTGAAGCACGGGCTCTAGGCGGGTGGGCTTCAGTAGTTGTGGCACGTGGCCTCAGTAGTTGTGGCGCACAGGCTTAGTAGCTCCGTGGCATGTGGGATCTTCCACGATCAGGGCTCCGAACCCGTGTCCCCTGCACTGGCAGGCGGATTCCTAACTGCTGAGCCACCTGGGAAGGCCGATCTCAATTTTTTAAATTGTAGTATAGGTGCTTTACAATATTACATTAGTTTCAGGTGTACAGCATAGTGATTCAGTATTTTTGAAGAATATATTCTGTTATTACCAGATAATGGCTATAATTCCTTGTGCTATACTTTATATGCTCTTGCTTATCTATTTTATAAACAGTAGTTTGAATCTCTTAATCCCATAGGCCTATCGTGCCCCTCCTCTTCAGTAACAAGTTTGTTTTCTATACCTGTGAGTCTGTTTCTGTTTTGCATATACATTTGTTTGTATTATTTTTTAGATTCCACATATAAGTGATTTCATACAGTATATAATGGAAAAGTGCCAGGTTTCAACAGACAAGAGTTGGGCCTGCCTGTCTCAGCAGAGTCATGAAATGAATTAAATGAATCTCTTAGAATAGCGCTGGTGTGGACCATCCTCCCAGGATCTGATGGGCCTCTCTTTTTTTCCGGATAATGAAGACTGCTTTTTTAACAGAAAAGCCAATTTGATTTGTTAATTGACATGGCGCAGCATGCGGGATCTTAATTCCCCCACCGGGGATCAAACCCGAGCGCCCTGCAGTGGAAGTGCGGAGTCTTGAACTCCTGGACCGCCAGGGAAGTACCGATGCTCCTATATCTTAAGTGTATTTTTCTTATGGTAAAATATGGACAGCATTGTGGGTGGGGAGGACAAGTCTGGGACCAAATGTGGAATTTCCTCTCCTGACCACCCCGCCCCCCCCTTGTATAAGTAGGTCACTGTTATAGGTACCCGCTAAAAGAGACAGGAGTATAGAAGTGGGTGCTAGCATGTCAGTATAAGAGGTGTGTTCCTGTGGTGCATAAGTCCTTCGAGGGTGTATCTCAGGGGTGTGAAAGTGTGTCTGCAATAGCCCTCCTGGGTGTGTCAAAACATGATTTCATAGGCAGAATGACCCTTAATGTGCAGATTCGGGTGGTGAGAGTAGATTGAATTCAGTCTTAAGATAAAAGATGAAGTTTGTTGTTTGTTCCCCCTCCCGAAAGACTTCGGCAGTGTCCCCCTGGGGTGGGTCTTGGAAAGAACAGGACAGCGGTAGACTAGTCTCTTTTTCTCCCGTCCCCTTGGGCCTTTAAGGGGGCTGCGCGGACCTAACATCGGGCTGGAAGGAAGAGGCGTAAGTCAACTTCCTCGCCGGCTGCACCCGCGGCAGCTGTGGGCGCGCGGGTCTGCGCATCCCGCCCCCGGGTCGGGAAGGGGCGGAGCCGGGCGGAGCCCGCCCCCCGCGGTCCCCTCTTCCCTGCGGCTCCACTGAGAAGCGCCGGCCTCAGTCTCTGCAGCCTGCCGGAAGCTGGGAGCCGGGATCCCGGGCCGGGAGTGCGGGCTGGGCTGCGTGCACGGGCTCGGCCGCCGCTGCCGGTGAGTCCCGGGGCGGGCGGCGCGGAGCGGGGCGGGAGGCGCGTCAGGACCGGGCTGTGGGGAGACCCCGGGCGCAAGCTCGGGGATGTCAGGCTCGCGACGTTGGGTAGCCCCAGACCCCAGCCCGGAGGAGCGTCGCGATGTGGAGAAACCCGAGCCCGGGGGCGGGGAGTCAGTGCCCCGGGGTTGGGGAGTCCGGGAGCCCTGAGGGCGAGGCGGCGGTTCAGGAAGGCGAAGTTGGGGCGTCCCGAAGCCCGAGCCTGGAGGACTGACGTTGGAGAGGTCCGGAGGGTTGCGGAATGAGGGGTGCCCTGTCGGCATTCTTGGGGCGCCCTCCTCCGGGCGGAGGGGAGCAGAACCCGGGAAGGGAGTGCGGAGAGAGGAAGCCAGAGGCGGGCGGGGCGGGAGGGGAGCCCCGGAAAGCGTAGGGTGGGGCGAGGCGAGTGGCTTCTCTGGGGAAAGATGGAGGGGGCTTCTCCGAGAGGGCGGGCGCGGGAAGCGGAGTCGTGCGGGGAGCCTGGGGTTCTGTTCTGGAGGATAGGGGGTTGGTGGGCCGGAACGCCGCGGCGGAGGTCCGAGGTGGCGGGCTGAGGGGTGCGTCAGGGACTCAGTGAACATCTCGGCCTAGGGGACGCAGCCCCCTTGGTGGAATGGGGTCATGGCAATCTCGAGAGGGCACCCACTCGAGAGAGCAAGACGGGCTACCCCAGACGGGGGCAAGTTGGGACCCCGCACCAAGCGAGCTCGGGGAGTGTTGGGACCTTGGGCGGGGGTACCAGGGAGGGGCGAACCTCGCTGACCCCACGCGTGCACCGCAGCGCCCTGTGCGTCTGTGGGCCCTCAGGCACAGACTCACAAAAGGGAGACCCGCGGGCCGGACGGGCTTTTGGTTGCATCTCGTATTTCTGAGCTGGGTTAGAAGTGATTTTGCCCAGGGATCCGATGAGAAGAGTCTGGGCTTAAAAGAACAGTTCTGGAGTGAGTTTTCAAATGTACAGGTAAGCTCTACGTGTGTGTGTGTAATTTTTAGGTGCACATGTGCTACTTGCTGACCCCTCTCCTGTACTCTTGAGAGGCAGTTTCTGAGTAAAAACTGGAAGAAAATCAGGAAGACGCTCTCATGCACACATGCACACCCGAACCGCCCACAAATGCATTGCATTCCACAGCCGATAAACACGAGGAGTGTTGTACAGTGTTGGATTGTTTCTTTTGGCGAGGGCTCCCTTTACTGGAGTTAATAGGAGTTACCTGCATGGAAGGTGGACTGCCCTTGACTGCCCTGTTAGGGCACAGCCTATACCCACCCCTGAGCTGCTACACCCTTGAACAAGTCACCCGGCAGGGCACTAGGCGGCTTAGGACCTCAGTGGATGGGCATTCTAGAGTCTTTCTGAAGATAAACAAACGACCCGTACCCTGTCTGGTTTGTTTTTTTCTGTTGTTTGTCTTGGGTGCCTGGCTCCCTTTAATTAGTTAAATAATATTGACATCTTATATTAACATATCCTGCATGGTTAATTATGTGTTGTAATTAGTTTAATTATTTGATATAACAGCTAATTCTGGAAGGCCCAGGGCCATGGGAATCCTGTTAAGTGGATTTCTCCCTTAGAAGGTTCCTAGGCTTTAAGGGGCAGTGGGTGAGAGATGCCTCCCACTCCCTTTCTTTTCTGCTGTAGATATAGGTCCATCTTCTCATGCACACTGAGATTTGAGCTTCCTGGGAGGACCAAAGATTTTTGGCAGCTAGCATATGTTGGGCCCTTTTTTTTTCCCCCCTTCATGAAAAGAAAAGCTCTTCAGTAATTATGCAAGTTAGTGGAAGAGTGCTCTATTCATTTCACAGGTATCATTTCAGGACAAGCTTTTCTTTTTTTTTTCACCAGGGGGTGGTCAGAACCTTGAACCAAAATCTGCATTATTATTATTGCGTTAGCATATTTATCCCCTTGGACGTAGAGCTAGCTGATTCTTCCAGTTCTTTATCCAAATGTTAGGATACATACGCCAGTATTTATACATTCAAATAAATGCATGTTTCTCCCCTTCAGAAGCCTCGGCTTGGCCAGCTGTGTACTAATTCTAGTGATGCTGTCATTGTTGAGAATAATTTTGGAGCTCCTGCTTTGGAGTTGCCTTCAGAGCTGGCAACACGGTGACTGAATTGCCTCTGTGATGGCAAACCTTCTGAAGCTGGGAAACAGCCAAACACTGTGTGGAGCCAACTGTGGTGGAGAATTGAGGTTGTAATAGGAAGTATGTCCATTAAGGTAATGAAAGTCCTCTTGAAGGACTAGCGGGTCTACAGGGGTCATCCAGTACAGAGTATATATATGTGTTTAGGATTGTAAAGTAGTTGCTGTGAAATGCAACCTTCATTTGGATGTTTGTGCTCTGGTATGTGTGTAAAAAACTGGCCCTGTAGTACCTTGCTAGACCTTATGGCTTATTGGGCTGGAGAAAATAAGCCTTTCTTTTCCCCTTCCATGTACTTTTTACCAGGCAGTTTCCATCCCTTTGCATTTTTACAGAAAGCAAGATGAACACAAGACTTGTTTTTTCAGAAAAAAATGTAGTCAGGAAGTCACTTACCCCGTGGGTCATTAATGCCTGGTACCTGAGTTTTTATGTGAGAGAATCTATATAGAATCAAGCGGAAGAGAATGATTTCTGAAAATCCATTTCAGTTTTGTGATTCCATAGCACACAGCGTGAAAAATTAACATATCCTTTTTCTGCCATTGGTTCCATAAATTCCCAATTTTTTTTCAGGTTCTTAACCCAAAGCTTCATATAGCCATGGCTTGAATCTTGATTTAGCGTGATCTTGGACAAGTTATTCATCTCTTTTGGCCTCAGTTTTTCTACCCTAAAATGAAGATATAATGAGTAGGTACCTCATGGGACTGTGATGAAGATGAAATAAGATTATGCATATAGAACCCTGAGATCAGTGTCTCATACATAAAGTCTTGCTCTTTGTGTTATTAATAGTGCTTATTGATAGTTTTGTATTAAAATTCCTTTTAAGCCATGTAAAAATTTATCATTTCCAAGTAATGGCATTCCCTTTGGCTGGGCTTTGCAAATGAACATGTCAATGAGAACACCTGGTTTTTACTCTCCTAGCCTCTCAGGAGTTTTTAAAGAGTCACCTTTACTGCATCCAGAGCTAGCTACTTTATTTTGAATTCTGATATTTTAAAAAACGAACAGTCCTGTTTTGATTGTGTGTTAGGTATAAAAGTTTGGTCAAAAGCTGAAGGAAAATTGTTTAAAAGCTTCTTCTATAATTTTTTCCCTTGATCCAGTAAAATATTATTCTAACGACATAGCTATAGTTTTCTTGGCATATATTGAAAGGGATGATTCTGGGGAACATTTGTTTCAGTTAAACTGGAGTTTTTTTCTGCTTTTTTTAAATGATAGGCAGGAAGAACCTGGCACTATGTTCTCAGCTCTTCCATAAATATCGACTTTAATTTTTTGCAGATTTATGAATTTTATTAAAAGTATTTGCATACAAATAATTTTATCATAATTTTTAATCCAATGGTTCGGGGTTACTATGAAATAGAGGTTTCATGGAATGTTCGACATTTAGTGAGAGTTCTCTGCGTTTCAGCGAAGTTTGTTCAGGAGACAGAGGTATAAGAAACAGATTTCTTCCTCCAGAAGTTCACATAATGTGCTCTCTTAGGACAATGCATTAGCAAGAGTATTTTTTCTCCTAATGGCTTATAGGGCTAAGGATTAATATGGATTTCACTGCATGTTCTTTTCCCTCAATTTCTTGGAGAAGGTTAAATCTATAGATCTCTCAATAGTGTTCATATTTTTTGACGTGGATTAGATCCTGCTATGCACTCAGATGCCATAAAAGGAGATAAGGGCTCTAGAAGTATTTAGTGAATTGTAAAGTGATAACACAGTCTGCCTTCCCTGTGGGAGCTGGATGGGGGGGGGCGCTCTGCATCCTCAGATTCAACCAACTGTGGATGGAAATGTCAACAAAAAAATTAATCCATAGTCAATCCGAGAAAGAAATGGAAAATTTTATTTGAGCCAACCTGAGGATTATAACTCAGGGGACAGTCTCTCAGAGAGCTCTGAGGACTGTTCCGAAGAGGTAAAGGGGGAGGCCAGTATAGATGTGATTTTGGAGAAGGGGGTACGTGCAACCGAGCACGCATCTTGGTAGAGGTGACTGCTATTTGCGAGGAACAGGTACCTTAGTTAATGGTTTTAGTGCTCCTCTAAGTATGGGAAGATGCAAAAAACTGGATTCATAAAATCTTTTCCTGAAAACATCTAAGTACCTGAGGGCCGGTTTTGTCAGTTTTTCCGCAGCACAAAATGCTTCGTCCTGATCGTCGCCCTGAATTCCTCTCGGGGTGTTCTGCATAGGTCAGCGACTGCAGGTGGCCAAATGACTTGTTCCTTGTAGAAATGGACGGTGGCAACATCTCTCGTCTTACACTCCCTTCCCTTTTAGTCTTAATTTTGACCAAGGTTTGGGAGGCATTTCGTGACCACTTTGTCCCACAGTGCTAGGAATGCTCATTCCCAGGTCAGGCGAGGATTTGGTTGATAAGCCACTCAGTGTGCTATTACTGGACTAGGCCCTGTTACCAGTAGCCAAAAGCCTCTGGACCACCTGTCTTAAATTCTGTTATGGTCCAGGAAATGGTTCCCTCTTGTTGCTTCTTCCCACATCTCGAGTTACACTATTATAATCATTGATTTTGTAGAACTATATCTTTGATCAGTCGTTTCAAGTCGACTAATCATCATTAATTTTATTGGAGGCTCAGTCACACATTTGGTCGTGCAAGAAGCAATAATCCTGTACAATAGGCAGAATACAAGTAATATAGCTAGTAGCATTAATAAGGTCATAAGCAAGTATTTAAGTGAAGAGCTTTCATTAGGTGTGGCCCAGGTCATCTCATCAGTCTGTTCTGCATTAATCGCTATCTTTAAGGGAAATGATATATTGGTATTGTACATAAAGCTCACCAAAGATGTCTGCAGGTATAAGGTGAGGGTGTGTTATTATGACCCCTTAAGGATTGACAAAGGAAGGTTATCTTCTAAAGAGTTATGTGGCTAGCGTCAGAAGAACAATTGATCTGTATGTTTGAACAGGTGTTTCTGCCACTGGGGAGTCTGGTTAATGCATAATGCAGATGCACAATGCACGGTAAAGGGGAGGGAGGAGGCCAAAGGGCAGAGAAAAATTTCATGTTTAAAATTTTCTTGTCTTGCCTTAAACTGTGAATTAAAATAAGCATCAGAAAATATTTAGGAAAAAAATTCCAGAAAATTCCAAAAAACAAAACTTGAATTTGCCATGCGCAGGCAACTACTTATATAGAATTTACTTTACATAGCATCTACATTGTATTTACAATTATTTTCATAACATTTACATTGTATTAGGTGTTATAAGTAATCTAGAGATTTTTAAAGTATATGGGAGAATGTGGGTTGGTTACATGCAAATACTATGCCATTGTATATAATGGACTTGAGCATCCACAGATTTTGGTATCTGAGGAGGGTCCTGGAACCAATCCCCCACAGGTACTGAGGGATCACTGTATAACCATAGG